TTACCCAAAATTCCAAGCGGTAGTGTAAAACATAAAAATACATCGTTCCTTTAACATCTTTACTGCGGTTTAAATTATATTATACGAGTGTATTTTTTTACCAACCGTCTAATGAACTATACACAGTTATTTACATAGTAATTAAAAGTACCACTGTCGGCTCACCATCCCGTTGAACTCTGGCATGTGTTGGGGTATAAATACAGTCCAGTCAGTTATTTAAAAATCAGTTGGGTTTTAAGAGTAACTTTTCGCATCAACACATATCCAACACCATAATAGCGTAGAAGGCCATTCAGGTGTGAGTGACGGGGTCCATAAGCAGCTGCATGTCGATATTTACGCTGTTGTTTTCACGCAGCTTGATGACTCATCTAGTATAAAAACACACCAGCGTGGACCACAGAGACGCAACAAAGAAATAAGACTTCCTCTTTGTAACACTTTCATTTTCACACCAAAATGTATCAAATGAACAAACGGATGAGCCTGGCTTGATAACAAACAAAAGACACCACTTCCTGTGATCGAAGCGACCCAGACCTCCACATTTTATCAATTTGTTTCCCTAAATGTGGGAAAAGAACTCACCCGTCTTCCAGGTGGCACGCTGCTCCATAGTTGGCCATCTCCGCCACCATCCCTCCAGCTGAAATCTAACCCAAGTCAGACTGCGGTTTCTCCTCTGACTGGAACCACCTGAGAGGAGGCAACGCTGTCTCCTCATCTACATTAAAGGCGCTTAAACCGCTCGCGCTCCTTGCATCGCGTGTCACATTGAATGCAGCGTATCCGTAAACAAAAGGTGAACAAAATCTCGAGTGTATATCTTTAAAAAAAAAAAAAAAAAAACGACGTTTAGCGGTATTTCAAGCCTGCGCAGGAGATCCACACGCGTTTTGCAATTTGCAGCATCGTCTCTTCATAAAAAATGGTGTTTGTGTGTTGCACCGAGGGGAAAAAAACCGCAGATCTAACTCCATGTGTATAGGCCCACTGCAAGTAAATCAGCGTAGCGGGTTGCGTTGATGATCTGTAGATTTGCGCAGTTGAGGCGCTGCTTTTTGACCGGCATGAATGTGTAAGCAGTGGGCGGAGATTAGCAGCCCGCCTTTAAAAGTGTTTTTTTTTTAAGTCATGGTTTGATGTACAGTGAGGAACCTTTGTGATTTTTATATCTGGGGCGGCCACGGATAGTGAGACGCGTTGTGTTTATGTGATTTGCGTGTGTATGAACAGGAAACAAAATTCGTTTATAACCCTAAAGACTTCCTTTAGTATCAGTGGGGTTCGCACTATTTTTCATCCGGCGCACCAGCCGGATGGCCCACCAACAAAACATCTGCTCAACGAAACAATAGCAGCCTGCTTATACTGTAAACATACAGGGGTCAGAATTAATTGTATAAATCTGAAGTTCAAAGAAAACAATTGTCCAGTGCCGAAAACATCTACAAGATTATATAAAAAAAAAAACAAATAATATATATATATTTATATAAAATACTTCACTCTGTCATATTTTTACATACAAAAATATTTATCCATATTTTTATCCTAAGTGTATATATTAGCATATTTTTTGCATGCCTTATACCCCAGTGTTTTTAGAGATTTTTATAATTTTATTTACCTATTTCATATTATATGTTTCATGTTGCACGATTGTACCATAAAAAATTCCTAGTTGTGAACTCCTTCACTAACAATGGCAATAAACCCGATTCTGATTCTGATTCTGACAAAAAAAATCCAGCTGATATTTTCTGTTTTCTAAAACAGAAGAAAAAAAACTAAAGAATGTGTGCCTGTAATATTAAGGTGTGTTGAAATAATACAAAATAGGCACTTGTATCATTTTTTTATGCTTAAAAACATTTTCATTCAGATGGCAAATGAGGCTCTAATAGGAGACAATAGTTGTGTGACTGCTTTATAGCGTTGTTCTTGCAGAGAGATGATCCCTGAGATCAGCTGTGCAATCAAAGGGTAGAAAGAGATTAATGACCACCTTAATAAATTTAAGTGCTTTCAGGTAAATTATTCTCCTATACCAGAAAATTCAAAAATTGTATATTTTAATTTCTGCTTATTTTACTGTCTAATGTCTTCAAATTGTTTTGTTTATTTACCAATTTTAAAGAAACACTGCCATCACTTTGCTTCTTCATACCTGGCTGACTGCTAAAAGGAGCGCACCCATTGCCAACTAAGCGTAAATTAGAAATAAGTCGTTTTGTGAAGATAAATAACAAGAAAAAAACATTGTGTTGGTTTGCTCTTCTTTATGTATTTTTATTTATTTTGCTTTTCAAGTCAGTTTTTTTGCCCGATAGGGAGTGGAGCCGCCTATATGGAGGCTGCTCAGAAGAGCGGGAAACTAGGTTGCTATATTACACTAATTGACCGCTAGAGGGCGCGGCAGACAGCAACTGCAGCAGACTACAAAACGCACAACGCTCACACTTCGAGACCCCTTTACTTATTTATGACTTGATTTTAAAGAATATTTCTCTAAAATCCTAATCCTACATTTAATACTTTGTGTAAAAATGTCAATTGTTGAAATGAATTTTATTGAGAAAATAAAAAACATGAATAAAAGCAAACATAAATACAATGCATTAAAACTATATAAATATAGTTAAATTATATAAATAAACAAGTCCAAAGAAGGGCTCTGAAAGTCTTTAGCTGTGTTATTGTTTTTTTTATTTTTATTTTTTTTTTTTTCCTTACATTTTTTAAATCCCTTTGTTGCAGCTAAACCACATTATTTTTCCATTGGTGGAAATTATCAGAATGTAGAGAAAAAAGAAAAACAATTGAAAGTAAACTGGAATCCTTTATAAAGTCTCAAGATTATCTCCCAAATACATTAAAAAATAAAATAAAAAACACCATGTAACAAGGACTAAACGGGAGAAGATGGATGGATGGATGGATG